TGAGGTAAAAAGGTGTCCAGGTCTTGAGCATCCATACACTACTGGACGTAACATAGGAGAGCTCGTACCCACCTTTGTCTTAGAACTGCTTCACCCACCGTGTTTTGGCCCACTAAGGCTTGGAGGTGATGGTGATCTACCTCCTGATGTTTCTCCCTGGAAAGGGCTTGGATTCTTAAACCGTCTGATAAAGATGAGCGGTACATTATTCCTCATCTTGAGATGATCAATGATTGTGATGAACTCAAAACTAAGTCTCGGACTTTGGTGACTGAAGAAAGTAGGACAGAGCATAAATCTCGATAACGGATTCCCTCAGACTCAGTATTGTATCCCGTGAAATAAGGCTCTGGCTGAGCAAACCACAACTCAAGGCCACTACGATCAAATTCTGAGAGTCAAGCTTTCGTTGTCACAACAATGTCTATCTTTATCAGTGACACCCTCCAAACTTTCGGTTTGTATTCGGTCTTACATGTGGAATATGACCAGTATGTTAATATGATACAAACGGGCTTAAATAATGATTACAACACAAATACTTTGCGAAAAATACTAATAAATAAAAAATATACGAAATTTATGTCGAAGATAATCAGAACGCTTACTTTTACGACCAAGCAAAACATAAATTTAATTTGTGTTCAATATAGGACTCACTAATTTCGTGCCGACCGTTACTCCTCGTTCTACTGACAGACGAGAACAAACTAGGTCTGTATTTTGAAATACAGGAAGGTGAAGTGGAGCGTGAGGTTACCCTATCGAACACAAAAATCTTTTCAGCATTCAATATAAAATAATAAAAAATATAATATCCATACAAAATAAGGAAGTGAATGAATACTTAGGCTTTAGTTTTCTGGCATTGACTTAGATGTCTGTAGTGAACTCAGTCAACCAACCTCAGTTGTTACAGTGCTATGAAGTTGCTGGAGAATATTCAAAAACCAGAACACATGTTGTTGGGATAGTGTATGGTTAATAAATTACAAAATCCACAGGCACTCAAAAGGCAAACACACTGGGGAGCGAAAGTATGTGAGTGAGAGTCGAAATATCCGTATGCTTTCTCTGAGGTTACTCAGCTGTAAGTCATTGATTGACTGTGTAAACAAGAAATGGGAGGATAGGTAAAAATTGATGTGCAGACATGCGTTCAGTCAGACTCACACATACTTTTACATAGTGGTTTGACTGCCTAAATCACAGCAGGTAGGTAATAAAAAATTTGATAGGCTTACTATAATGTCACATCTAAATGTACCCTTCGGTACATTTGAATGATACTTCTGTTAAATTATGTCTTGCGTAATCAGTGTTATCACTTTCTTCTAAGAATAAGGATTTTCCATGGCTTCTTGTTGATGAAAAACATCTTACACAAATATTCATGCGTGTATGTAATGCAACTCCCCGAATAGCCATAATGTAAGTGATGACTCTACTGAAAGTCGGTTTTTTGCCTTACTAAAGAACTGGGATTATTTGATAACGTGATATCAGGAGCTACGTGAAGAAACAAGCGAACCTTGTTATACAAAGGCTGGTTTTTCACTGAAAAATAATTCTTAACCGAAAACTTCCCAGTCCTAACCTTCCTGGGAAAAAGAGATCACGCTGCCATAGCTTTTAATTTTATTGGCAGATCTGGACTAAAATATCTTATTGAAAACTGTCGCTATAATTTTAAATGTATAAATGTCAGTTTTAAAGGAAAATTTACAGCAGATCAACTTGGAAGCTTGTCTTTAACTTGATTTGGACACTTACGGAGGCTTTTTGATGCTGACAATTTTGCGTGCTACGAATCAGTCTGTCACACAAATCAACTCTAAAGACTAAACCAACCTAAAGTCACAAGGAACACGGCCTTCCAATGCCAGGATCCAAAAGATATAAACGAACTGGTGTTGATGGTATATGTGAGCACCTCAGAAAAATCATGAGCGGCAAAGTAGCGGGACCAGACAACATTCCAGCGGTAGCACTGAAAGTAGATTTAGCGGCAACTACAAAAATACTCCACATTCTCTTCAGAAAGATTTGTGATGAAGAACAAGTACCAACAGACGGGAAAGAAGGACTTCTGATCAAGATGCTAAAGAAAGGCGATCTCAGCAAGTGTGATAACTACAGAGTCATCACTCTTCTCTCAACACCAGGAAGTCTTCAACAAAGTATTGTTAAACAGAATGAAGATCTCCGTAGACGCCCAACTTCGAGACCGACAGGCAAGATTCCGCAAGGATCGATCGTGTACAGACCAAATCGCAACTCTACGGATCATTGTGCAACAATCAATTGAATGGTATTCATCACTCCACATCAACTTCACTGACTATGAAAAAGCATTTGGTAGCGTAGACAGGACAAAACTATGGAAACTCCTTCGACACTACGAAGTGCCTGGGAAGATGGTCAATATCACACAGAATTCCTATGATGGATTAAACTGCAAATTCGTGCATGGAGGACAGTTGACAAACTCGTTCGAAATAAAGACCGGTGTCAGGCAAGGTTGCTTACTCTCACCCTTTCTCTTTCTCCTGGTGATCGACTGGATCATGATGACGTCAACGCCTGAGGGGAAGCATGGGATACAGTGGACAGCTAGAATACTGCTGGACGATCTAGACTTCGCAGATGATCTGGCTCTTCTATCGCACACACAACAACAAATTCAGGATAAGACGACCAGTGTAGCAGCAACCTCAGAAGCAATAGGTCTCACCATACGCGATGGGAAAAGCAAGATTCTCCGATACAACACAACATGCAACAGTCCAATCACAATTGACGGAGAAGATTTGGAAGATGCAAAAACCTCTACATATCTGGGCAGCATCATTGATGAACAGGGTGGATCTGATGCAGATGTGAAGGCGCGGATCGGCAAAGCAAGTGTAGCATATCTACAAATGAAGGACATCTGTAACTTAAAACAACCATCTGCAAGCCAACACCAAGGTCAGGATTTTCAATAAAAAAGTCAAGACAGTTCTACTGTATGGGCTAGAAACTTGGAGAACGATGAGAGCTATCATCCAGAAGGTACAAGTGTTTATTAACAGTTGTCGGGTCCGTTGGCCAGACACTATCAGCAACAACCAACTGTGGGAGAGAACAAACCATATTCCAGAGGAGGAAGAAGTCAGGACTAAGCGCTGGAAGTGGATGGGCATACACTGAGGAAATTACCCAACTGCGTCACAATGCAATCCCTCTCTTGGAATCCCCAAGGCCAATGGAGAAGAGGAAGACCAAAGAACACATTACGTAGAGAAGTGGAGGCAGACATGATATAAGCATCAGTACCAGATTAAGCTGGTGTTTAGATTGGCATCCAACCGGGAGGAATTACTCCACCCCTCATTTTGTCAAGCCGAAACCGGAGTTTCCGAATTACTAGGTAACCCCATGAAAAACCGTGGAGATTCCTCAAGGTCCTGATACGATGATATTTTTCAACGTTTTATCCATCACGTACAACGTGCATTGACTACGGATTCGCTTGCAATTCAACAGGAGTCTTTAAGGTAAACCTAAGCGCTAGATTGATCCATCGGAAACTGCAGCGTCTAAATAAGAGCACTTTTCGTGTCTCAGATATGGTCTACCCTGCCTTACCGAGAGGAGCAGCCTCAATCTTGAAAACACGTAAGTGTAATGTTCTCACATTAGCAAAGCCAAGCTCCGATCCCAGACAATAGTCATCTGACTTATATCATAATATTTTTCAAAAGAGAACGATACAGTTTAACTACAAACTATCGACAGCACGTCTTTCAGCGTCATCAAATCTAGTGGAGTGTTTGGTATACAATTGTTTACACAACTACTTGCTATTCATTAACTTCTTTCACTCCAACAACAAGGCTTCAGGAAGGACCACTTCTGTACTACTGATCTGTTGATTATGATGAATGGACGGACAACTATTGACGACTTTAGTGGAAGGTGGATATGATATACCTCGTTTTCTCAAAGACATTTGATGGGGTCAGTTTTATGCTTTCCACCCAATCTTTAGGTTTTATTTGGCCCTATCTAGCGTACAAAAATATCTTTCTTCCCTAATCCCAAAAGGATTGACATATTCCGAAACATATCCAAAAGAGAGCCACAAAATCATTCCAAGGACTCAAATTCAGATCTTATGAAAGGCATCTTGAATCACTGTATCTTTATATATCGAAGCATGGGTGCCTCAGCGATGGTTTTTTCACATCATCCGAGAAACTCCCGGGCACCCACAAATTACATCTTTGCGAGCAGTCAAGTCTTGTAACTCACTACCAGCTGAGATCTTTCAGTAGTCATTCAGTAAGGAACGTGAGGTATTCCCTAGGACTCTAAACTATTCAAACGTGATGGCGTTTGAAGCGGACGGTACTGAGTTCAAGTCCCAGAGTGAACATCAACTCTGAGATGCAGGTACATCCAGCCGACGAGTCCCAAACAGGACGAAACGCGCGTCCTGAATTCCACTGCTAGCCACTATCCATCTTTGCTTATTCAAACATCTGTTGAATTAATAATCCCAATCATTTAATCACCAAACTGAACAATAAACGCCACTAACCAGTTCAGCGATCTAAAGGATTCTCATTTTAATGCAATGAAAAGCAGTCTTAGAAAGCCTGTTACTATTTCACCAAAATCTGAACTTTGAATCTACCTTAGTTTAAACGTAGTTTCGTGAGCGTCGCAAACAGATTGTTGACGGTGGTTACTTTCGTTTCTGGTCAGGCTTAGTATGTGTGCGCTAAATGCGTAAGTCTAAGAGTTGTTTTTAAAAATTTCGTATATTCTTTTCGAACAAACCTGATAATCATACCTATAATCCAATAACAGGAATCCAAGTAATGATCCTTTATCAGGGGAAAGAGTCAAATTCCATCGTTTGATTGTTGACGAACGATAAAAGATGATAACTCGGTAGTTTATTTATCTCAAGTGAGTGTACTTTTGCAGTAGTCACCATCTTCCAGGCCAAGATGGATGCAATGAATCTGTTTCGTGGGGACACTGTTCTGGTCAAGGGTAAGAAACGTAAAGAAACGGTGTGTGTAGCGATTGTGGACGAGAGTTGCCCAGACGACAAGATTCGTTTAAATCGTTGTATTCGCAGTAATCTACGAGTAAAACCAGGAGATATTGTCAGTTTAAAGAGTCTTCCTGACATCCTCTACGGGAAACGCATTCACGTGCTGCCTATTGACGATACTATTTTTGGTCTTACAGGGTAATGTCTTTTGTGTGTTAATGAGTCTCTAGAAATTTATATGAAGCTTTTCTAAAACCATACTTTTTGGCTGCCTACCGACCTGTACATAAAGGCGACATATTTGTCGTACGTGGTGGGATGCGAGCTGTTGAGTTCAAAGTAATTGAAACAGACCCGTCACCCTATTGCATTGTTTCCCCCGACACTACTATTCACACAGAAGGAGATCCAGTTAAACGAGAGGTACGTATGGTTTGATTACTCATTATTCACTTATAGGATGAGGAAGAAAAGCTGAATGAAATAGGTTATGACGACATAGGAGGTTGTCGTAAGCAGCTGGCTCAAATAAAAGAAATGGTTGAGTTACCTCTTCGTCACCCTCAGCTGTTCAAAGCTATAGGTGTGAAACCTCCTCGCGGAATACTCCTTTATGGACCCCCTGGTACTGGAAAAACCTTAGTTGCTCGGGCAGTAGCCAATGAAAGTGGAAGCTTTTTCTTTTTAATCAATGGCCGGAGATAATGTCAAAATTGGCCGGCGAGTCAGAATCTAACCTACGCAAAGCGTTCGAAGAGGCAGAAAAAAATGCACCAGCCATTATTTTTATTGATGAACTTGATGCGATCGCCCCTAAGAGGGAAAAAACCCACGGTGAAGTAGAACGCCGCATCGTTTCTCAATTACTGACATTAATGGATGGTCTAAAACAACGGAGCCATGTAATTGTCATGGCTGCTACGAATCGTCCTAATAGTGTTGACCCGGCATTGAGACGCTTTGGTCGTTTTGATCGCGAAATAGAGATAGGTATTCCTGATAGTATTGGGAGACTGGATATTTTGCGGATACACACCAGGAACATCCGGCTGGCTGAAGATGTTGAACTTGAGCAAATAGCCAATGAAGCTCACGGTCACGTAGGAGCTGATCTAGCTTCGTTGTGCTCAGAAGCTGCCCTCCAACACATAAGAAATAAGATGAATCTTATTGACTTAGAAGACGACACAATTGACGCTGAAGTATTGAACTCGTTGGCCGTAACGATGGATGACTTTCGTTGGGCTTTAGGAAAGAGTAATCCGTCCGCTCTTCGCGAGACCACAGTTGAGGTACCAAATGTCACCTGGGATGATATTGGTGGGTTAGAAAATGTGAAACGAGAGCTCCAGGAACTGGTTCAGTATCCCGTTGAACATCCTGATAAATTCCTGAAATTCGGTATGACTCCTAGCAAAGGTGTCCTGTTTTATGGTCCGCCAGGTTGTGGTAAGACGTTGTTGGCGAAGGCGATTGCGAACGAATGTAAAGCCAATTTTATCAGCATCAAAGGACCCGAACTCCTTACTATGTGGTTTGGTGAATCTGAAGCAAACGTTCGGGACATTTTTGATAAAGCTCGACAAGCGGCACCGTGTGTGCTTTTCTTTGATGAACTGGACTCGATTGCCAAAGTAAGTAGCATTTTACCACTTTAATTGGTTGAGTTTGTTATTTACATGTAATGCTTATATAGCAAGTCTATTTGTATTCGAGAAGTGTTATGCAATTAGCAGGCGTTTCAAACCAACTTTAAATTTTACATTTTGCAAGACCTATGTAGCCTAGGTCTGACTTAATGAAACGCTGTGGATTTGACTAAGCTTGTTGTTTCTCGTCCGTTTTGGTATACATGCTATAAATCAAATGGCGTGCAAGCAAGTATTGTTCAGCCTTTCGAAACTGTGACTGAAACTTCACGTCAGTACTAACGTGAAAGACGAAAGTAATCGCCAGTGCCATATCGAGGAACAAGTGCACTCCTGTTGCATTTGGATGTTCTTAGTTATTCTCTCAAATATTAGTTTCTGACGTCTTGACAGTTGCTCGTAGGCTCAAATTCCTGTTCAGTATTGTGCTGTTCTAATCTACAGTTCACCAACAACTCTGATCTTAGTTCCTACCTTTCTGTAGATATTAGAGACAGTACTGAGAAATGGAAATGTTTGCCGTCCATAGGGATCATGCTGTTTATTCAACTAATCCATGTCGATATCCTACTCTAACGTGACGTATAAGCAGCTTACTAGTGTTTCAGTCATGTATACCATGTATTTAGTTGGTAGACCATTCCCTACATTAAGTTTCGTCAGTATTTTTCATTTTTTTTTGTACAAAACATCCAATGCCTGCCTTTCCTAATCAGTCCCTAGTTTATACGTTATGGCTGCTCAGTATCTGATTTGCTGAATAACCTCGCTAAAATATTTTTTAAAATGGGATATGGAGCAAGGATATGGGAGTGTTGTTAATTTTTTGGTGCGAAATAGTTACTGCTAACTGATTAACGAATAATTAGATGGTGAGTTGTTTATTACATATCTCTTCATGCCGGTAAATGTCACTGATATTTTCGTCCCAATAAGCGCGTTCCCCATTGCAATGTTCACTTCCCTAGGCTCGTGGAGGTAGCGTTGGTGATGCTGGAGGTGCTGCTGATCGTGTTATCAACCAACTTCTAACCGAAATGGATGGTATGTCTGCTAAAAAGAACGTTTTTATCATTGGTGCCACTAATCGCCCAGATATTATTGATGGGGCCATCTTGCGTCCTGGAAGACTCGACCAACTAATTTACATTCCACTGCCAGATGAAGCCTCAAGAGCTAATATTCTAAAAGCTAATTTAAGAAAATCCCCAATTGCAAAGGTAAGTTATACTTTTTGTCTGATCTTCATTAATGAGTCATTTCAATATCGGTCTTCTACATTTTTGATGGAAGTATAGGATCTGTAAACTTAACTGCACCAAGCATAGGAGTGCCCTTCGATCATATTAGGAAATTCACACCACGTTTGCAGAATTATAAAATATGACTTTCGGATTTCGGCACCAGTTTGTTATGATTGTCTTGAGTTACACTTGATGCTACTAATTTCGATTCCCTTCAAAGTGGTGAGTGTTCACCTTTAGTTCTAAATATGAAGGTGGAAGCAACTTAGTTTCCTTCGATTCAGCTATTTTGTAGCCTACCGGTTGATAATAAAAATCATATTTGTACTACCCATTGTGACTCGAAATTAGAGATATGTTAGTTATTGCCAGGTGATTTTTGTCTGATAATTCTCCCTAACTGTGCAATTATGCGTAATCCGAATTCTTTCTACATTTACCACAAAACTCTATTTATTTACAAACCCACGGTACTGTACTCCTTTCCGCTTGAATTTTGTAAATAATGGTTACTCGGTACTCTGATAACATCTAGATTCCCATCACGTGAAGTGCTTTGTACTACGAAGCTTCAAGTGTTTGTCAAAAATTCTGACTTCTTCCTCTAGGGGGTTACCATGCTCTCAATCTGATTGAGTTCTTCTTACTTCAGTGATAGTAAATGTGACGATTTGAGCTTATTCCTTGCATCACACGTTGTTTAGGAGTAACCTAAATTGTCGCGCAAAATTCGGCTGCGTACTAGCATACAACGGAATATTATGCTATCGATGGTACTCCTGAATATGAAAAACCATCTTGCTTATCATTACCGCACTAACATATTGTACCTTTTTGCTGTTGCAGTGTTCTGTAGTAGTCTTTTTAGCCAAAATTGTTTGAAATATGGCTTCAGACTAGTGCTTATATTGCTGATGTGTAGAACTTAAGGACTTACGTTCTTTGCTAAAAACAATCAGTTTAGTCAGCTTCAGTTCAGTGAGACAGTTTTCCCAGTATAAAGCGTTTGGTTTCCTCAGTAATAAATTTTAAAAGTGTATGCAAATTTGCTGCCTTTCTGTTATTAAGCTTATATAATTACTTGTAAAATACCAGACATTTTGTGTGCCTCTATGATCCTCCTCTTTTGTCGAGTGTAAACAAAACAAATCAGAAACGTTTTAAACCGACTGGGTGATAAATTCGAACCAAAATCTACTCACCGGAAAGAAAACGAGCAATTATGTTGCAACCACTCGCTTTGTATGTCGCAGTTTCAAACCCTTTTCAATCTAGCTAGGTAATATCACTGGTCTTTATAAAGTTATAACTTAACTGAATCAGTACTTTTCGAATCATAATTTTTATAGTTATTCCTTTACACTACCATGGGTCGCACATTTTTAGCCCATTTAACAGTTTATATTTTAATGTTACACTTGAGACAAATTTCTTGTCTAAATTTTAGGGATTTGGGTAACAGATTTAAGATTGTATAATGTAGTCTTTTTAACTGTTTAACAGGCATTTACTAACTCTTGGTCTTTTTAATATTAGGATGTTGACATTAATTTCTTAGCAAAAGCTACTCAGGGATTTTCGGGTGCTGACCTCACAGAAATATGTCAGCGTGCCTGTAAACAAGCAATACGTGAGTCTATCGAGGCGGAAATACGTGCTGAATCTGAAAAGAAAAACAAGCCCAATGCTATGGTAAGTTAGTTTTTAGATGTCCAACTTTTCTATATGTTCTAGTAATGATTACGACAAGATTTTAATCACATTGACAGTAGAGTATCTTTGCAGCATTCCAATGTTATTTTTATTTACTTACTTAAACACAAATATTGATACAAGGAGGCATCAAATAGATATACGCCACACAAATCGAATGATTTGTGTGAGGGATGGGATACTGTCTGGGTGCTTAAGCCGAGGCAGACGGTTTTCTTAGGGGACCACTCTCCGAGCCTTTGTTTTAGAGGTCTAGTCCACAGGGCAGTAGAGCAACATTCGGAGGTGCAGTCCCATGGTAGCCGGTGACCAACAATGGGCTCACACGTCATTTGTTTCCTTAGGGTCCTTGAGCCTTTGTGCCTCATTGGTTTGGAATCGGGGTTTTCCAAGTTCCCTAGGTGAACCCTCTGTATCTACTAACCCGGTTAAAGCGCCGGACACCCCAACCACGAGGTGAGTAGGACTTCCCTGGCAATGGTTGTATGCACGTGGCCACGTGAAAGCATTTGGTGAGGGGGAGCAGACTCTCCCCACTCTCGGCCGTGCCGGGGGTATTTAGAGGCAATATTCTTCTTGGCTTTTTCAAATTCCGATTAAAATGAATCACGTAGCTCTTCGGGTTCCAAACTGTGCATTCGTATAACTCATTTATAAACGGAAGTAGGAAAAACGGTTTGTTTTTTTTGTTTGGAGCTCACGAGGATAACCTAAAGTTCATCCATTAGTCTAGAATAATTCTCAGGTTTTAGTATGCTGTAGAGCTACTTTGCTAACTTTACGTCTTTTCTGACGACAATTTGTATCCTTAGTCACATTCGTCACAGTCATTCATCTGTGTTCATATCTATGTAAACGTTCGTCATCAAAAAGTGATGGGCATAGAAAAACTAGCTATCATAGACCCTGTTCGTTTAATCGATAACAAGTGTACAGCTGATTTGTATGTGCTGTGTATGATTTTCTTAACATCATTTTCAATATGTCTAACATTCTCAATCCACGTATGCATTGTGTAATCCCTACCATCAACCTAAAGTGTTTTTGCTTCAGCGATTCTCCCATGCATGTACTAAGATTAACAACCTCTCACAACCGTACAGTACCTTTTATCTTACGGCGGCAACCGTCTCTTGGATCCACAATTAATAAAGAGGTAAACAGGAAGTAAAATAAGTCGATGTATGTTCTAATCCTCAATCTTCATAAATTATAAACAGGTAAATATTGCCGAACATGTGTTGATTATAAATCGTTGCTTAATTTGTTCTACGTTTCTTAACCCTAATATCGAAAACCAATTAAACTTTCTTTGATCAACCAGGATTAGCAGTCTTCAAAGGATTCTTCGTTAAAAGTACGAATGCCAAATAGGGTATGCTGATTTTAGCTGATTTATTAGTACGGATCGCTAGCAACCGCTCACCCCATCACATTAATTGGTTATCGTAGGAGTAGATAGACAAGCTTTGGGAAGAAATAATAGAGGAAACTCTAAAATCCAACAAGAATGAGAATTTTTGATTAATGTGATGGAGATGAAAACACATAAGATACACTGTTCGTCCGTAGCCGTAGAGGTATATATAATCTCTCACTACACATAACCAAAGCGCTTTTAAATTTGACATTTCGAGATGTTAGTCATGAATAGGACATATGAACAACGCTTCTCGTTCTTCGAAAATGGGAGAATTTCGCCAAAAGGCAAGCTTCCACATATGAACAACCTAGATTTGTTAGTTAGAGTATACGATACGGAATCATACGATTTCTTACGCTTCTCAAGATTAATTGCTGTATATATCATTATTGATACTTATTATTTTGTTGGCTTCTTTTAGGAAGATGATTTTGATCCAGTACCAGAAATAACTCGTCGTCATTTTGAAGAAGCAATGCGCTTTGCAAGACGCTCAGTGACTGAAAATGATGTACGGAAATATGAAATGTTCGCCCAAACATTGCAACAGTCAAGAGGAATAGGTAGTAATTTCAGGTTAGTGTATATATTGTTTTACCACGTTAATGCAAACTAACTACTAACTTGAGATTTTTATGTATTCTCGTTGTGCCCCATGTTTATTCAGAAAAATCCAATTAATGTTCATTTATTATTATCGCACAGTAAGAAAATATCATCTGCATACTCAAGGTCGAGAAGTCTTTCTCCAGGCAACAGATCCACACCGCCATTACTTACATCCATCAGAGCTGTTTCCAGAATGTCATCGATGGCAAAGTTGAAGAGGAATGGTGAGATTGGACAACCCTGTCTAACCCCACTGCTTGAGTGGAACAATGAAGAGAGGTGGTTGTATGCCCTCACTCTGCCTGAGGTGTTTGTATATAGGGCCTTTAAGATCTTAATAAACTTCTCAGGCACACCCTTCTTCAATAGACAATCCCAGAGAACAGTCCTGTCCAACGAATCGAAGGCAGCCCTGATGTCAAGAAACACTACGATATGATCAATACATCCTCGACCAGAACGAAAACCAGCCTGCTCCTCGCGAGTCAATCTTTCTCGGGTTTTGAACAACCTACGAAGTATGATGGAAGCCAATAGCTTGAACGCAATCGGAAGTAGACTTATCCCCCGATAGTTGTTACAGGAAGGACGTGAACCCTTTTTAAAGATAGAGACAACTGTCGACTCATTCCATGACGTTGGTACACTCTCTAGTTCCCAAACCTTTGTAAACAACGTCGTCAATTCCTTAGTCAAAAAGTCACCACCATATTTAAGAAGAGCCGGAGGTAAGTCATCTGGGCCTGGTGATTTGTAGCGCTTCAAGAGTTGGAGTTCCTTGCGGACTTCCACCTCATTTAGTGGATCAGACTTCACCGGCCATGGAGGGCGGGACAGTCTGATCGGTGTTCCTAGAGCAGCAAGGCAGTTAAACTGCGCTTCGAAAAATTCTGCCCATCGTCCAAGACGTCAATGAATGTTGGTGATTGGCATCCCGTCATCCTCACAGATTGTTTCGCTCACATCAGACTTTTTGCTGCCAGTAGCTCGGATGAGTTGGAAGGGCTTCCGGTAGTTACCAGATGCAGCTGCTGCTTCCAGCTCATTAACACGCTCCGACCACCAGGCTTCTCGGTCCTTGCGCAAGCTTTTCCCAATCTCACTACGTAACAGCCTTCGTTTGTGGTCAAACTCACGGTCATCCGGAGTAGGCCGACAGGCTTCGATGAGTTGTAAGGAACCAGAAGAAACCCAGTGCTTATAAGCGGGACGTTTCGCGAACCCACAACTGACTGTACCCGCCGTTCTCATGGCGTCATGCACTTGCAACCAATGCTCATCTTTACTTTTCGGTGGAGTTGTAGCTAGCCTAGAGGCTAGCTCGGTTCGATACTTAGTAGCAACAGAAGTTGCAACCAGCTTGCTAATATCAATCCGTTGATGGTGGTCACTTCGTTGTCCACTGAAAAGTAAGGTGAGATTGGCGCAGCTCTATCGCTAAGTGCGACACCAAGGACAGCAAGACCAGATGAAGATGCCACAGGGTCCCCTGATAAACGCACGTAAAATAAGCTTTTTGAAGCAACAGATGGAAAGCGAATTTGTACTACTTCACCAGAGTCTTGAATACGGGTCTCGGCTAGACAACAAACGTCAATATTAAGACTTTCCCAAGACATAGCCAGCCCTATCTGTTGTCCGACCTGCATAAGTGTGCGAACGTTGAAGGCAGCCAGTTTGAATGGCGCACGTGGTTTCAGGAAAACTGTTTCAGTATTCGTATTTGGTGGTAGCATTCAATTTTCGACCAGTCAGTGACTCGAGATCGTTTAGATAGAACAGTTTCCACCATGGGCGAGCTGCTGAAAAATAAGGATATACGAAGCGGGAATCAGAGAGTGAATAAGTGACTTGGTAAATAATAATAATGTGAATTGTTTAACTGTTAATCAAGGCGTGAATAGAATCTTCAGTAAGTATCGTCATTTTCATTTTATTTGTGTGTGGGCTGTGATACTGCCTTGGTGCCCAGACCGAAGCAAGTGGTTTCCCTAGGAGGCCACACCCCGAGCTTTTGACCTAAAGGTCTGACCCACAAGGCAGTGGGGGCATCGTGAGGAGATGCAGTCTTATGGTAGCCGGTGACCAACAATTGGTTCATACGTAATTTGTTCCCTCAGGATACTGGAGCCCATGTGCACCATTGGTTCGGAATCCAGTTAAAGCGCCGGACATTCGCTTTTCGTCTTTTTATTTTCGTAAACAACACCCCCGCCACGAAAAGGCAGTGAGTAGGACTTCTTTCGCAGAAGCTGTATACGCGTGGCCGTGTGAGAGTATTTTGAGAGGGAGGGCGGGCCCACCCCACTCTCGGTCATACCAGGGCATTTGGGGGCAACTCAAATAAAAGATGAATACCAGAAAAGTTATTTATCGTCTGAATAGAGTAAGTAGTAGGAGTACCTTTTTCGTTGTGATTTATCAACCATATAAGAACTGATTAGCAATGTATTATCGCTAAAACAATGTCATTTTTCGGAGCAACTTTGGTTGATATTCCTTGACTTCGTCATTTAGTATGTCCCACCTTCCAAGGCTAATTTTATGGACTAGTTAAACTATCAGTCCAGTAGGTATTGTGTCTTACTGTTAAGTCTGAATTCTTTAGTAGTGTGATCCACAAAACTACAGGTTTGCTTAGTAGACTATGGATCACGTCTTTTAAAATGTAACGACGATGATATATTAACGTAAAAACTAGGGTTCCATTTGTACGTACGTTCATCAGTTCGAGTTGCCATACCACATTAGCAAAGAGATGCGGTTGTCGATTCAAATTCCGTGGTCGTAGAGGCGGTAAGAATATAAGCAGTAATCGGAAAGATTAGGGTTTGATGATGTTATTCAAGAAGTATAATCCAGTGAAATAAATTTGGAAAGAGAAAAAAAGAGACAAGGAGAATTCAGAAGATTAGAATTTGGGAGAACACAAAGAGTGAACGCACCTGCACCATTGCAAACGATTTTGAGCCATGTCATTTAAAGTCTCTAACCATCGGTTGCTATCATCTTGCGGTCCCCAACCAGGTAGTCTACACCTACCGACATGACTCAGCCCACTTGTCAGTGACTTCATGGACTCGTGCCATGTTTTAGTCTGGCCGCCCCTAGCTTTCTTCTAACCTACTCTTACACCATAAAACATCGCACGTCGCGGCATTCGGTGGTTGGGCATACGTAACAGATGTCCCAGCCACCTCAACTGATGAAGTTTCACCACTTCATCAATTGATTTGCCATCCTTACTAGTACCCATTTCCTAACAACTACATTACTTACTCGGTGGTCCCAGGATATATGAGCAATGTTTCGAAGACACCTATGATCGAATACTAGTAACCTACGAATATCCTCTACTCTTACCGGCCATGTTTCACTGCCGTAAAGTAGAACAGAGTGAACTGCTGAGCAGTAAATTCGTCCTTTGGTTGGTAGACGGATATCTCGCCTACGCCACAAATGACGCAAGTTGGTAAAAGCTAGTTGAGCTTTCGGTATCCGTGCTGAGATTTTGTCACACACCAGACCACAAAGACTGATGTGGCTCCCAAGATAAGTGAAGCGGTCGACACGCTCAACTACTTCACTCCCTATCATTAGTTCAGGTGTTGATGCAACCCAATCTTGAAGCAACATTTTACATTTCGAGGGGGAGAATCGCATGCCGAACATGCTTGCATTGTTGCTTAGAGTGGTCAGAAGACTCGGCATTTTGTCAGCGTCTTCACCAAATAGAAGTATGTCATCAGCATATTCTAAGTCAACAAGTAAACCTCCCGGTAGAAGTTCAACCCCTGGAAATTTAGATGAGGAGAGTGTTATCTCTAAAAGTACGTCAATGACAAAGTTGAACAAGAATGGGGAGATTGGACAGCCCTGACGAACACCACTTGAGGTAATCAATTCTAATGACAGTTCGCCATAAGCTCTCACTCTACCAGTTGTGTTCGAGTAGAGAGCCTTTATAAGGTTAATGTACTTCTTTGGTACTCCTTTCAGTGACAAACACTGCCATAGAACCTTACGATCAACAGAGTCGAATGCCGCCTTAAGGTCGAGAAATACTACTATTGTGGGGCGTCTGAATGTGTGTCTATGTTCTAGGACCTGACTTGGTCCTACATGTAATTTAGAGCGTGGTTTCAGGAGACCAGGGATAACGTTTCGCGTACTCGAATCATTTACTCTAGTGGTGCGAGGTGATAAAGAGACGTGAGAAAGATTAGTCTTGGAGATAAGAGAGTTCTTAGGAGATGTAGGAAGGATTTGAATGTGACTAACTTGTCTCGTGTGCTGTTACGGGTATGAGGGCTGATATAACTTCCCGGCTGTGCCCACACTATGGTAGGATATTTCTTGAGGAATCTGAAAAAAAGTCGGATTCGTGTTGGTCTTAACGACTTGGGAGCGTAACTGCAGAGCCCAAGGGTCAACTGCTTGAGGCCGAATCGCGCACGGCATTTTTGTGGGAGGTTTCTAGCGTGTCAGCTCCGTCCTTTAATGGCCCTTATCATCAGAGACGGAAATCTGCGAGGTAAGGTGGTGTGTAACATTTTTAGGGTCGACATTTTCTAACTCATCCTTGCTTGTGAGAAGGCAGCATCACTGCAGACTCTGGTTGTCCGAGAAAAACAGCTTACTGCTGTCACACCCCTCCACAGTCAGCATTACGACTTCACCCTCAGACCTTGAGTTGCTGCTTTTAGTCTTACCGTTCTCCAAACGACCTGCCTGGCATGGTAGAACCTACAGGAACATACGTCCCAGCCGATCTAGCTCGGTTGGGTCATCACGATAGGCTAGTCCTACCACCACGTCAAGGTAGCAGCTACGGTCGGGCTAAAAACATCATCAGATTTATCCCGTATCCTTACGTCTAGCTTCGACATTGAAACTAATTGCCTCTTAGGTAATATTCGAATATACATCCATTTATACAGCCGTGTAATTGCAACGTAATTCTAGAT